GCCCGCCCGCCCGCGGGGGGGAGGGGAGGGGAGGGGAGAGAGCCACAGGTCGAGTCGATGGCTGGCGGCGGACCGCCGGAGCGTTCGGAAGCTCCACCGCGTTCCTGTCTGGTTCAAACCATCAGGGCACCGCAGCAATCTCCCGCCCGCCCGCGGGGGGGAGGGGAGGGGAGGGGAGAGAGCCACAGGTCGAGTCGATGGCTGGCGGCGGACCGCCGGAGCGTTCGGAAGCTCCACCGCGTTCCTGTCTGGTTCAAACCATCAGGGCACCGCAGCAATCAAGAGGGAGAACCTTATTTCCTCTTTTGAGCAGGGGGGGATGTGTTTCGTTTCCCTTTTTGTAACGCAACGATCATCTATTACTTGCGGTCTGCAACGGGGAGGTCCACCTTCCGGCACCTCATTCTCCTGCACGTGTAGCCCAAGTCTCCTCTAGGCGTGTAACAGAATGAGGTGGAATGAGACGAGAGTATAATTTTGGCTGCTTCTTAAGGCTGCTTCTTTGGCTGCTTCTTAAGGCGCCTCTTCAGTGAAATCTTCTGGAGAATAGAAAACGAGCACTGTGGGAAATGGAAGGCGCTTGGACTTCTCTCCCCAGTGTGCTTCTTTTTTTTTAAAACACGGGAGACCGTTCGGAACGCATCCTCCACCCGCAGTCTGAAGGTACAATCTATTCTACCATCTCAGCATTTTACCAACAGGGGGACATCAGTCCTAAAGCCATAGGCTTTGTACCACCACAAGGGCAATGCTTGCTCATGGGGTCAGTTCATACATTTAAGCGGCTGTCGATGCGCCTATATGGAGCAGCCTTCTGGAAGAATTCCGCCTCCAACCACAGATAGATGGGAGGTACTTGTATTTATTTCGGGCACTTTGCACATGCTCAGATACTTCCTCTTTTTTTTAGTATTCAGTTGAATTCCCTCATGAGCTCACTCTGAACCTTAGCACTAAAAATGGGTCCTGGTGCTTGCAGTCTCCAATTAATCTGAGCTCTGCCCTTAATGTCTGTCAATAATGTCCTGTGACCTGCACTTAGAATACCCAAATGTATTTTTGGTAAATGAAACACTCCAGCAGTTAGTTGTTTTCAAAATTAAGATTTATTTAGCACCTCAGACAGATGGGACCTAGCTATGCTGATTCAGTGGGGAAGAAACCACTCTTTGTACATAGGTTAACAAGTGCTGTCTCGGCCTATCCATCTGTTTATTTTATTTGAACATTTAAGTGTTAGTCAGTTGAATGGGCCTAGTCTGAGCCTAAGAGTTAAGGCAAATTAAGCCATGCTTTAGTTCTGTTCCAAATATGTGTCTGTCCTGTGACCTGGCTGGAAGAATCCTTTCTTAAATTAAGACAGAAGAGGACTAGG